GCCTCTAGCATGAGTCTGGTGCCTCTAGCATGAGTCTGGCCTCTAGCGTGAGTCTGGTGCCGGTTGAGCCCCAGGAGATGGTTCTTTTGTCTCCCACCTGCTGGGGCCCAAGAGAAATCTAGGTCAAAGTGAGTTGGGTGCTGGGCAGCTCAGGATCCTGACCCCCTTGGGCCCCAGCCTCAGTAAGCCCCAGAAGCAAAAGGCCCCTCATATGCAGAGCCCTGGGATGCCTGGGACGGTCCATTCTGGGTCTGCAGCCCACAGCTTGGGCTGGGTTGAGGCTGGAGTGTGGGGAAGGGGGTTTGGAGGTCTCTGCATCTTCCTGTCGTTGTCCCTCTAGCTCTCACTCCAGTGTAGGTCTCTCTTCTGTGCATCTGCCTCTGGGGGTTCTCCTGTGTGTCATCCTGTGTATTTCCTTGTGCCTTCATCCCTCTGCTGGGCAAAGACCGTTGGCCTTGGGGGTCAGAGACTCCTGGGCTTGCATTTCCACTCTCTCACACTTGGGCAAGTAGTGTTATCTCCTGGGCCTGTTTCCACATCTCTGAAGTGAGGATATTAGTTCTTTGCACATAGCATCATCATTTGGGGGTTGAATGAGAACCCAGGCATGGGATGTTGCCAACAACACCGTCCGTGACACACAAGAGTGCTCTGCAGAATTCTCTTTCTCGCTACTTGTGTGGGGGGGTTTTTTTTCTTTCAACACGAACTTTCTGTTCCTCTTTGCCTCCTGATGAGTGTTTATGAGAGCAGAGCATACTGTCTTCTGGGTGTGTCTTTCTGAATAGCCTCCCTCTCCTCCTGGTTCCGAATGTTGGGGGCTTCCCCTCGGGTAGGGTCTCTGACTCTGGGCGTGAGTCACGTCGTTCCTGGGATGAGGACTGCTCCTCTTTGGCCTTGTGTGTGTGGTGGGTTGATTGACCCACGTGCGTGCCGCCGTGCTGGGTGGAAGTTTCACTGTGGCTGGTGCCCTCCCTACCACGGATGGGGTGATTTTCTTCCCCTCGGAGGGTTGCCCCCTGTGTCCCGCCTATGCTGGGTGGATGCCTAGTCGTGGGCCCCTGTGGTGTGTATCTTGTCCTCAGGTTTGGTGCATTTGGGCACAGAAGCCTGTGACCTGTCTCTGGGGGAGTGTGTGTATCAATTCCTGCCATCTCCACACTGACGCTGGCTGCAGGGCTGTCTCTAGCTGCTGCAGCAATTGGCCTGGTTTCCATCCTGGCTGTCTTTATACTGGCTCGCCCCGGGAAGGGGTACTGTTCTCCGAGGGCAGTGGAGGAAGGAGCTTCCTCTGGAGGTCACCCCTGGCAGAGGCCATCTGCTGGGGTTAAGAATCTGCTTCCTGGAGTTCTCCTGCTTCTACTTGGCGTCGTGCCCAATCGCAGGGTATGGGCAGAGCCCTGCTGCTCGGCACATCCTCTTTGCAGTTTTGAAGTGACAGGATGGGCTGTTCTCTCGCTGCTTCTGGCCTGAATTATAGCCTGTCCCACGGTGTCAGGCATGCGTGCTCTCACCTTTGCAGCTGGCGTGGCCTCACCATCTCACTCTTTTCTGCCCTCCAAGCAATATTCTGCCTTAGGGAGTCTCCACTCTGGCCCTGCTCCTTCTTTTTTTATTTAAAAAAATTAAGTTTTTATAGAGATAGGGTTTTGCCATATTGCCCAGGCTGATCTCAAACTCCTGGGCTCAAGCGATCAGTGTGCCTCGGCCTCCCAAAGTGCTGGGATTACAGGCATGAGCCAGCGCGCCTAGCTCTGCCTCGTTTCTTCCTATCACGAGGGAGGCTGTGGGGTGGACCACCGGGCTGTGTGCTAGCAGGCTCTGGGACTAGGGCCCCAGCACACTCCCATTCTCTCATTTCTCTGGACCTTACTTTCTCCATCCTTAAGTAACAGGCAGTGCCGTCCCATAAAACTCTCAGCAGTGGGGGAAGTGTTCTGTGTCCATGCTAATATAGTAGCCAGTAGCTACATGTGACTGTTGAGCTCTTGAAATGTGGCTAGTGCAGCCAATGAGCTACAATTTTAATTTAACGGAATTTTAATTGATTAAATTTAAATAGCTACATGTGGCTGCTGTGTTGGGTGGCACGACTCTAGGTCTCTCCTAGCTCTGAAGGCTTATGGCACTTGGCTGAATCGTGCAGAATTCCCCACAGCTCCAAAGACTCTCTTTTGGGTAGCAACAGGGCAGAGCCCTCAGCCTCCGGGGAAAGCCTGACTTAACCTAACTTGTGTGGGAGGAGAAGACAGGGCCACCTGGGCTTGAGACAGGCTCCAGAGGGGGAGGAGAGACTGAGGGCTGGGACCAAACGTGGAGAATGGAGAAAGGGGAACCCCGGCTACATAGTATCCCACGCTGCTCCTTCACTATTCCCTTCAGTATTTCCATGCCCCTCCTCGGAACTGAATGGCCCAGGTCAGATGGGAGGGGAGTCCTTCCAGGCTGTGCCAGGACAGCAGGGCCAGAGCCAGAGCGGGCAGGGTGGTTGGCCGCCCCACCTGGCCGGGAAGCCATTGAGTGCCCTGCCAGGGCCAACCTGCAGCCTCGGGTCCAATGGCTCCCGTCCTCATGGGCTATTGGATCGGTTGTCTGCTTAGGATGGTTTCTCTCCTCCTCAGGAACCACGTGGGTTGAGGCAGGTAGCAAGTCTGTCCTGGGCCTCTAAAGGGACTTCTGCCCTGGGACTCTGCCTGAGGCACTGGCAGGGAAGCTAACTGCCTGTCTGCAGGGGAGCTCTGGTTCCTCTGGCACCTGGGGATCTGGCCCAGGAGGCACTTTGTCCTTTGGGTTTTAGGCTCAACCCTTTGCAGGTCTGGAGCTGTTGCAGCCAGCTGCAGTGACTCACTGGGGAGGGAGGGAAAAAGGGAGGGTGGGGCCGAGGTGTGGGCGAGGGTGATCTGGCCCAGCTAGCTCTCTCCCCATCGCTGGCTGCTGGCACGGCACCAGGATGCTGGGGTGAGCAAAGGGGCCCTGCTCCAGGAGGAGGACAGGGGTGTCTGGGCGATCTGAAGGGGTGGCTTCAGTTCTGTCTGAGAGATGAAGTCTGGAATCTTTTTTCCCTGCCTGCCTCTGCCCGGCTCCCTTTCTGCAGGGCTAGCTGCTGAGCACTGGACACTGGGAGAGAATGTGCCATTTAAGTCCCAGCTTTGCTGTTTCACACTGGGAAGGGTCAGAGTGATTTCCCGTCGCAGCCTTCTCTGCGGCCGGAAGGGAGGAGGTGTTTTCCCCAGTTTGCACCTGAGCCCACAGGCTCAGAGTCTTTGCTTACCTTGTAGCCAGCACCTGTGTTGACAAGGAGACACGTCGTCCACACCGCGTTGTCAAACGGGAGGATGGCTGTCGGGGGCTGGGGTCTGTGTTTCTCTTTCATCCGTGTTGTGATCTGCCTGAGATAGGAACTGCTAAGTGCCCACAAATTCCTAAGAGACACAGTCTTGTCCTCAGAGGTCACCTCTAGCGCCTTCAAGACCCCATGTACATTTCATTTCCCCCAGAAAGCTCCCAAGCCTTCTGGAATATTCTGCGGCAAAATCGGTCACAGCTAGTGCACCTTGCTCATCTGATGTGTGTCTGTGACAGAAACTGAGTCTTAAATCTCCCTGTCCGGCACATGGGTGTGTGAGTGACGTGAGGTCACCGTCTAATGCAGCGTATGATTAGGTGCCGGGCCCAGCTGTGTCCATCCCTGGCCGGTTCCGTCTGCAGTGCAAAGTATAGTGTTGGGCATAGGGAGGCAGCCGGTATACGTGCATTGATTGACTGTTGATACTTTTTGGATGTAAACAGCTGTAGGCGGGGCTTTGGGTCAGGTTCCCCATGACTTATAGTGTTCCTCACACCATTTCAATTGGTGGCCACTGCCGCCATTTTGTGTGGTGGCTGTAGTCCGTGGCCCTGTGCAGAGAGAGTCCTGCCTGGTATCTTTCCAGGGCGCCTGCAGATGACAGCTCATCCTGTGGCTGGAGGGCGAATTTATTACTAAATGCTTGCATTTAAAGGGGCCTGGCTCAGGGCCTGGTGTGGGCAGCCAGTGGGCCTGGACTCACCCTGGGCCAAGTCGGGCTCATCTGGGCTCTAGCCTCTAGGGCTTGGGTGGTGCCTGGTGGGGCTGGGACCTCCTTTGTTCAGGCAGCTTCCTGTGGCAGGGCTCCCAGAGCTGCCAGCTGGTGAGGCACCCCCTTGGTCCCGGGGACTGGGTGAGACCAGGTGGCCCGAGTCTCTGTCTCTGAGGGAGGTGGAACACTGCCATTCCTCCTTGGAGGCAGCCTCTGAGAAGGCTCCCACCTGTTACAAGTGGCAGACCTGGGATGGAGTAGGCAAAAGAGTTACAGACTCGGTGGGCCAGGCGCGGCGACTCACGCCTGTAATCCCAGCACTTTGGGAGGCCAAGGAGGGTAGATCACGAGGTCAGGAGTTCAAGACCAACCTGGCCGAGATGGTGAAACCCCATCTCTACTAAAAATACCAAAAATTAGCTGAGCGTGTTGGGTGTAATCCCAGCTACTCAGGAGACTGAGGCAGAGAATTGCTTGAACCTGGGAGGGGGAGGTTGCAATGAGCCGAGACCATGCCACTGCACACCAGCCTGGGCTACAAAGCGAGATTCCGTCTCAAAAAAAAAAGGAGTTACAGACTCGGGTCCAAGCCCAGCATAGTTGTGCTGTCATGTGTACCCCGGGTAAGCTGTTCTCTCAGAGACTCAGTCTCTGTCTGTGAAGTTGGCACAGTAACATCTCCCTCTTGAAGCCGTGGTGGAGAATGTGGGTCGAGGCCAGGCGCGGTGGCTCCTGTTTATAGTCCCAGCACTTTGGGATTGTTTGAGCCCAGGAGTTCTGGACCAGCCTGGGCAACATGGCAAAACCCCATCTCTCCAAAAATACAAAAATTAGCCAGTTGTAGTGGCACGTGGCTGTGGTCCGAGCTACTTAGGTGGCTGAGGCAGGAGGATCACTTGAGTCCAGGAGGTTGAGGCTGCAGTGAGTCGTGATCGCACCCCCGCACTCCAGCCTGTGTGACAGAGCCAGACCCTGTCCCAAAAAAATAAAACGAGGCCGAGTGCGTGGCTCACGCCTGTAATCCCAGCACTTTGGGAGGCTGAGGCAGGTGGATCACGAGGTCAGGAGATCGAGATCATCCTGGCTAACACGGTGAAACCCCATCTCTACTAAAAATACAAAAATTAGCTGGGCATGGTGCATGGTGGCGGGCGCCTATAGTCCCAGCTACTCAGGAGGCTGAGGCAGGAGATTGGCTTGAACCCGGGAGACGGAGCTTGCAGTGAGCCAGGATCTACTATTGCATTCCAGCCTGGGTGACAGAGCGAGACTCCATCTCAAAAAATAATAATAATAAAGAATAAAAAAGAAAAAAAGAAAAAAAGAAAAAGAATATGGTGAGAATGTGCATGTGAAGCGGCTCCTGCCGGCTGGTGTTCATTTTTTTTCTCCTTTATTGCCTCCATTTTCACAGATGAGGAAATGGAGGTTCAGAAAAGTGAAGTGTCTTGGCCAGGGTCCCACAGCTAGAAGGAGGCAGAGCCAGGATCTGACTCCAAGTCTGGCTCCTCTGAAGTCCCTTTCTGCTATGCCAGGCTGGAGAGTCATGGACGAGTGGAATTGATGGCGGTGGTGGGGGTCGGGGTTGTGAGCTGGCCTGGGTAGCAGAGGACCTGGCTGTCCCTTGGGTGGGGACTCGGAGCAAGCTGACTGCTAACCGGAGTGTGAGCATCATCATGAACTTTCCCCTAGGTTGTGACCGAGATCCTGACGAGAGAGACTGAGGGGAAGAGAGGAAGGAGGGGCGGGCTCCTGGCAAGGCATTTGCTCCTGAGCGGAATCCTGCAAAGGTCAGTAGGTGGGAGAGGCAGAGAGAGGCGGAGGTGATGGGATGTGGGGAGGGTGGGCCCCGTGTGGATGGGAGGCTGGGGCTGTGGGGGATAGGGATGAAGGACTGGCTGCCTCTGGGGCCAGTTGCCTCTGCTATCTCATTTCCATCTTCTTTGTTATGCCTTGGGAGAACTTCCACAGTGGAAGGACGTGAGACGAGGTAACCCATCCCCAACACCTCACCTGGCAGGTGAGCCGGCTGCAGGGGCAGGCGCGTTGCCGAGGGCCCCACTCCTGGAGTTTATAGCACCGGAGATCGCTAGCTTTCCCGTGCCCTAACGTCCTCCCACCCGCACTGACCCCAGCTCCATTTCCTCACCTCATCCCAGATGGAGAAGGAGGAGGAGACAACCCGGGAGCTGCTGCTGCCCAACTGGCAGGGTAGCGGCTCCCACGGGCTGACCATCGCCCAAAGGGATGACGGCGTCTTTGTGCAGGAAGTGACGCAGAACTCCCCTGCGGCCCGCACTGGGGTGGTCAAGGAGGGTGAGTCTCCAGGGTATGGACTGGGTGCTGGAGGTTGGGGGGTCAGCGGGGGTGTTGGAGGGAAGGGCAGGGAGCAGGCAGAAGTGGGCGAGTGGCTGCCGAGGGCCTGTTCCCAGTGGCATCAGGATGGGCGGTACCCAAGCCCTGCCCTCTCTTGGCCACTCTGTGTCTGTCACTTGTGGTCCTCAGGGGAGGCAGTTGTGTGGGGTAGTGGACACCAGATCTGACTCCACCACCCACTAGCTCTGCAGATTTGGGCAAACGAGTTGGCCTTGCTTTTTTTTTTTTTTTTTTGAGATGGAGTTTTGCTCTTGTTGCCCAGGCTGGAGTGCAATGGCACCATCTCAGCTCAGTGCAACCTCCGCCTCCTGGGTTCAAGCGATTCTTCTGCCTCAGCCTCCAGGGTAGCTGGGATTACAGGCATGCGCCACCACACCTGGCTAATTTTGCATTTTTAGTACAGACGGGGTTTCTCTATGTTGGTCAGTCTGGTCTCAAACTCCTGACCTCAGGCGATCCGTCCGCCTCGGCCTCCCAAAGTGCTGGGATTATAGGCGTGAGCCACCGTGCCTGGCCCCCACAAATTGGCCTTTTTAAGCCTCAGTTTCCATGTCTGTACAATGGGTATTACCACGCCCACCTTGAGGGTGGTCATGAGATCAAGTTAGTTCAGTGCCCAGTGTGTGGTGGCTATGTGCGATTTCCCTGAGGCTCTTTGGGCCTTACCTGCTTCCTGCTCTTCCCTGCTCAGGGGACCAGATTGTGGGTGCCACCATCTACTTTGACAACCTGCAGTCGGACGAGGTGACCCAGCTGCTGAACACCATGGGGCACCACACGGTGGGCCTGAAGCTGCACCGCAAGGGGGACCGCTCCCCCGAGCCTGGCCAGACCTGGACCCGTGAAGCCTTCAGCTCCCGCAGCTCTGAAGTGGTTCTGGTGAGTACCTCGCCGGCCCATCTGTGCCCTGAGCTCCCCCGGCCACGCCAGCCTGCTGACCCCACTCCTGAGCCTCCCATCTGCCTCCGGAGCCTCTCTTTTTGCTCCTTCTCCTCCTCTCACCTGTCTTCACTCGCTTGATCTCTTGGCCACCCTGTTTCTTTCTGCTTTCATGTGACATGTGGCTGTGCTGCCCCTAAATGTCTTCAATGAGTCTCTTCAGAGCGGTCACAGTGTGGGAACTGACTTGTGCAGCCCGGCCCTAGATGCTAGGAGGAAGGTCGGCTGTTTTGCAAGAGCCTTTCAAATGACTTCACAGGTGCCCAGCTCCACCTCACAGGCACCATTTTTCCCTCTGCAGAGGCCTGATACATTCTGTGGGTCAGACGCTGGACAGCAAAGTGCCTGTGGGGACATTGTTCCTTCTCCTGGCTTGTTTATTTAACAAATAATGGGTCCTCAAAGTGAGACTGTTAACCCAAGCACAATCAGTCTTAGGCTCAACAAGTGCTTTCCAGGGAACAAGGGCCTCTGAGAAAATTCCCCTCCTGGTTAAACAAACGAGCCAGTGGGTTGAGAGTTGGGAGCTGAAGGGCCCGGTCTCTTGGGAGGTCTCCCTGGCACAGGCCGATTTGAATCTCTAACTGAATGGAAATCCTTCCAGTCCAAGAGTATACCTCCCACTCCCTCCCCATGGTTTTTGCTTCCCGGTATGACCTCCAGAGAATTTCTGATTTCCTCCTGTGATGTGACTGTCAACCCCTTTCTTTACTCCCTTGTGCTGTGGCCCAGGAGGCTCCATGGACCTCTGTTTTGGTCCCAGCTTCTCTGGGAAACAGGCAACGTGTTGTCGGCTGGGCTGTGGCCGGGCATTTGCTAACTCAGGCAGACTCTGCTGCAACCTCTGCCCGGCGTGTCTTTCTGCAGAGCGGGGATGATGAGGAGTACCAGCGCATCTACACCACGAAGATCAAGCCACGGCTGAAGTCGGAAGACGGAGTGGAAGGAGACCTTGGGGAGACCCAGAGCCGCACCATCACGGTGACCAGAAGGGTCACGGCCTACACTGTGGATGTGACCGGCCGGGAAGGAGCCAAGGACATAGACATCAGTAGCCCTGAATTCAAGATCAAGATTCCAAGACATGAACGGACTGAAATCTCCAATGTGGATGTGGAGACCCAGTCTGGAAAGACCGTGATCAGACTGCCCTCGGGCTCGGGGGCAGCCTCTCCAACGCCAGGCTCTGCTGTGGATATCCGAGCAGGGGCCATTTCTGCTTCAGGACCAGAGCTCCAAGGTGCTGGCCACTCAAAGCTCCAGGTCACCATGCCTGGGATAAAGGTGGGAGGCTCAGGTGTCAATGTCAGTGCAAAGGGCTTGGACTTGGGTGGCAGAGGAGGGGTCCAAGTTCCAGCAGTGGACATTTCATCTTCTCTTGGGGGTGGGGCAGTAGAGGTGCAGGGCCCATCTCTGGAGAGTGGTGATCATGGCAAAATTAAAATTCCCACCATGAAGGTGCCGAAATTTGGTGTCTTGACAGGGCCTGAGGGCCAGACGCCAGAGGCAGGGCTGAGGGTTTCTGCACCTGAAGTCTCTGTGGGGCACAAGGGCGGCAAGCCAGGCTTGACTCTTAAAGCCCCTCAGCTGGAAGTCAGTGTGCCCTCTGCCAATATTGAGGGCCTTGAGGGGAAGCTGAAGGGGCCCCAAATCACTGGGCCATCACTTGAGGGTGACCTAGGCCTGAAAGGTGCCAAGCCACAGGGGCGCATTGGGGTCGACGCCTCTGCTCCCCAAATTGGGGGTAGCATCACTGGTCCCAGTGTGGAAGTTCAGGCCCCTGACATTGATGTTCAGGGGCCTGGGAGCAAACTGAACGTGCCCAAGATGAAAGTCCCCAAGTTCTCTGTATCAGGTGCAAAGGGAGAGGAAACTGGGATTGATGTGACACTGCCTACAGGTGAAGTGACTGTTCCTGGGGTCTCTGGGGATGTCAGCCTGCCTGAGATTGCTACTGGTGGGCTGGAAGGAAAGATGAAAGGTACTAAAGTCAAGACTCCTGAAATGATTATTCAGAAACCTAAAATCTCCATGCAGGATGTGGATCTGAGCCTTGGGTCTCCTAAACTGAAAGGAGATATTAAGGTTTCTGCTCCTGGGGTGCAAGGTGATGTTAAAGGCCCTCAAGTGGCAGTTAAAGGCCCCAGAGTGGACATAGAGACCCCAAACCTAGAGGGAACCTTGACAGGCCCCAGGCTTGGCAGTCCTTCTGGGAAAACCGGAACCTGTAGGATCTCTATGGCAGAAGTAGACTTAAACGTGGCCACACCTAAAGTGAAAGGGGGTGTAGATGTTACACTCCCCAAAGTAGAAGGGAAAGTCAAAGTCCCTGAAGTTGATGTCAAAGGCCCCAAAGTGGACATCAGTGCCCCAGATGTCGAAGCACATGGCCCAGAATGGAACCTGAAAATGCCCAAGATGAAAATGCCCACGTTCAGCACTCCAGGAGCCAAAGGGGAAGGTCCAGATGTACATATGACTCTACCCAAAGGAGATGTCAGTATTTCAGGGCCCAAGGTCAGTGTGGAAGCCCCAGATGTCAACATAGAGGGTCTGGAGGGGAAGCTTAAAGGCCGCCCTGATGTTAAGCTGCCTGATATGAGTGTCAAGACACCAAAGATCTCCATGCCTGATGTAGATTTGCACGTGAAAGGTACAAAGGTGAAGGGAGAGTATGATGTAACCGTACCAAAGCTTGAAGGAGAACTCAAAGGCCCAAAAGTGGACATTAATGCCCCAGATGTGGATGTTCATGGCCCAGACTGGCACTTGAAGATGCCCAAGATGAAAATACCCAAATTCAGTGTGCCAGGGTTCAAAGCAGAGGGCCCAGAAGTGGATGTGAACCTGCCCAAGGCTGATGTGGACATTTCCGGGCCCAAGGTAGATGTTAGTGTTCCTGATGTGAGCATTGAGGGACCAGAAGGGAAATTGAAAGGGCCCAAGTTTAAGATGCCTGAGATGAACATCAAAGTCCCCAAGATCTCCATGCCTGATGTGGACTTACATTTGAAAGGCCCTAACGTAAAGGGAGAATATGATGTCACAATGCCAAAGGTTGAAAGTGAGATTAAAGTTCCTGATGTTGAACTTAAAAGTGCCAAAGTGGACATCGATGCCCCAGATGTGGAGGTTCAAGGTCCAGACTGGCACCTGAAGATGCCCAAGATGAAAATGCCCAAGTTCAGCATGCCTGGCTTCAAAGCAGAGGGCCCAGAAGTGGATGTGAACCTGCCCAAGGCTGAAGTTGACATCTCAGGACCCAAGGTGGATGTTGAAGTTCCAGATGTGAATATTGAAGGACCTGAAGGAAAGCTGAAGGGCCCCAAGTTCAAGATGCCAGAGATGAATATCAAGGCCCCCAAGATCTCCATGCCTGATGTGGACTTGCATATGAAAGGTCCTAAAGTAAAGGGAGAATATGATGTGACAGTGCCAAAGCTGGAAGGGGACCTGAAAGGCCCAAAAGTAGATGTCAGTGCCCCAGATGTTGAAATGCAGGGTCCTGACTGGAACTTGAAGATGCCAAAGATTAAAATGCCCAAATTTAGCATGCCCAGCCTCAAAGGAGAGGGGCCAGAATTGGATGTGAACCTGTCCAAAGCGAATGTGGACATTTCTGCACCAAAAGTAGATCTTAGTGCTCCAGATCTGAGCCTTGAAGGACCTGAAGGGAAGTTGAAAGGCCCCAAGTTTAAGATGCCTGAGATGCACTTCAAAGCTCCTAAGATGTCTCTGCCAGATGTTGACCTGGATCTTAAAGGACCCAAAATGAAAGGAAATGTAGATATTTCTGCACCAAAGATAGAGGGTGAGATGCAGGTTCCAGATGTGGACATCAGAGGTCCCAAGGTAGACATTAAAGCACCAGATGTGGAAGGCCAAGGCCCAGACTGGAGCCTGAAAATACCCAAGATGAAAATGCCCAAGTTCAGCATGCCCAGTCTCAAAGGTGAGGGCCCAGAAGTGGATGTGAACTTGCCTAAGGCTGACATTGCTGTCTCAGGACCCAAGGTGGACATTGAAGCCCCAGATGTGAGCCTCGAAGGTCCAGAAGGGAAACTGAAGGGTCCCAAGTTTAAGATGCCTGAGATGCACTTCAAGACCCCCAAGATCTCCATGCCTGATGTGGACTTACACTTAAAAGGCCCTAAAGTCAAAGGGGATGTGGATTTGTCTGTGCCCAAGGTAGAAGGTGAAATGAAAGTGCCAGATGTTGACATCAAAGGGCCCAAAGTTGACATTAGTGCTCCAGATGTGGATGCTCATGGCCCAGACTCACCTGAAGATGCCCAAGATGAAAATGCCCAAGTTCAGCATGCCTGGCTTCAAAGCAGAGGGCCCTGAAGTGGATGTGAACCTGCCCAAGGCTGACATTGATGTCTCAGGACCCAAGGTGGATGTTGAAGTCCCAGATGTGAGCCTTGAGGGCCCGGAAGGAAAGCTGAAGGGCCCCAAGTTTAAGATGCCTGAGATGCACTTCAAGACCCCCAAGATCTCCATGCCTGATGTGGACCTGAATCTTAAGGGGCCAAAACTGAAGGGAGATGTGGATGTGTCCTTGCCTGAGGTAGAAGGTGACATGAAAGTGCTAGATGTTGATATCAAAGGGCCCAAAGTTGACATTAGTGCTCCAGATGTGGATGCTCATGGCCCAGACTGGCACCTAAAGATGCCCAAGGTGAAAATGCCCAAGTTCAGCATGCCTGGCTTCAAAGGAGAGGGCCCTGAAGTGGATGTGAAGCTGCCCAAGGCTGACCTTGATGTCTCAGGACCCAAGGTGGATGTTGAAGTTCCAGATGTGAATATCGAAGGTCCAGACGCAAAACTAAAAGGTCCTAAATTCAAGATGCCGGAAATGAATATAAAGCCTCAGAAGATATCCATGCCAGATGTGGGTTTGCATTTGAAAGGTCCTAAAATGAAAGATTATGATGTTACAGTTCCAAAAGTAGAAGGAGAGATAAAAGCTCCCGATGTTGACATCAAAGGCCCAAAAGTTGACATTAATGCACCAGATGTGGAGGTTCATGGCCCAGACTGGCACCTGAAGATGCCCAAGGTGAAAATGCCCAAGTTCAGCATGCCTGGCTTCAAAGGAGAGGGCCCTGAAGTGGATGTGAACCTGCCCAAGGCTGACATTGGTGTTTCGGGACCCAAGGTGGACATTGATGTTCCAGATGTGAATCTTGAAGCTCCAGAGGGAAAACTAAAAGGCCCTAAGTTCAAGATGCCAAGCATGAATATACAGACACACAAAATCTCTATGCCTGATGTTGGGCTTAATTTGAAAGCTCCTAAACTGAAAACTGTTGTAGATGTTTCCCTTCCCAAAGTGGAAGGAGATTTGAAGGGTCCTGAAATTGATGTGAAAGCCCCTAAGATGGATGTGAATGTTGGTGATATTGATATTGAAGGTCCAGAAGGGAAGTTGAAGGGCCCCAAGTTTAAGATGCCTGAGATGCATTTCAAGACCCCCAAGATCTCCATGCCGGATGTGGACTTACACTTGAAAGGCCCCAAAGTCAAAGGGGATGTGGATGTGTCTGTGCCCAAGGTAGAAGGTGAAATGAAAGTGCCGGATGTTGACATCAAAGGACCCAAAGTGGACATTGATGCCCCAGATGTGGAGGTTCAAGGCCCAGATTGGCATCTGAAGATGCCCAAGATGAAAATGCCCAAGTTCAGTATGCCCGGCTTCAAAGCAGAGGGCCCCGAAGTGGATGTGAATCTGCCAAAGGCTGACATTGATGTGTCTGGACCCAGTGTGGACATTGATGCTCCTGATTTGGATATTGAGGGACCAGAAGGAAAGTTGAAAGGCTCCAAATTTAAGATGCCCAAGTTGAATATAAAAGCTCCCAAGATCTCCATGCCAGATGTGGACTTGAATTTGAAGGGACCCAAACTGAAGGGAGAGATAGATGCTTCTGTGCCAGAACTGGAAGGTGATCTCAGAGGGCCGCAAGTTGATATCAAAGGTCCTTCTGTGGGAGCGGAGGTGCCTGATGTTGATCTGGAGTGTCCTGATGCAAAGTTGAAAGGGCCCAAGTTTAAGATGCCTGAGATGCACTTCAAGGCCCCCAAGATCTCCATGCCTGATGTGGACTTACACTTGAAAGGCCGCAAAGTCAAAGGGGATGTGGATGTGTCTGTGCCCAAGGTAGAAGGTGAAATGAAAGTGCCAGATGTTGACATCAAAGGACCCAAAGTGGACATTGATGCCCCAGATGTGGATGTTCATGGCCCAGACTGGCACCTGAAGATGCCCAAGATGAAAATGCCCAAGTTCAGCATGCCTGGCTTCAAAGCAGAGGGCCCTGAAGTGGATGTGAACCTGCCCAAGGCTGATGTTGATGTCTCAGGACCCAAGGTGGACGTTGAAGTTCCAGATGTGAGCCTTGAAGGTCCAGAAGGGAAGCTGAAGGGCCCCAAGTTTAAGATGCCTGAGATGCACTTCAAGACCCCCAAGATCTCCATGCCAGATGTGGACTTACACTTGAAAGGCCCCAAAATCAAAGGGGATGTGGATGTGTCTGTACCAAAATTGGAAGGAGATTTAACAGGCCCCAGTGTGGATGCGGAGGTGCCTGATGTTGAGCTGGAGTGTCCTGATGCAAAGTTGAAAGGCCCTAAATTTAAGATGCCAGACATGCACTTCAAGACCCCCAAGATCTCCATGCCGGATGTGGACTTACACTTGAAAGGCCCCAAAGTCAAAGGGGATGTGGATGTGTCTGTACCAAAATTGGAGGGAGATTTAACAGGCCCCAGTGTAGATGTGGAGGTGCCTGATGTTGAGCTGGAGTGTCCTGATGCAAAGTTGAAAGGGCCCAAGTTTAAGATGCCTGAGATGCACTTCAAGACCCCCAAGATCTCCATGCCGGATGTGAACTTAAACTTGAAAGGCCCCAAAGTCAAAGGGGATGTGGATGTGTCTGTGCCCAAGGTAGAAGGTGAAATGAAAGTGCCAGATGTTGACATCAAAGGACCCAAAGTGGACATTGATGCCCCAGATGTGGATGTTCATGGCCCAGACTGGCACCTGAAGATGCCCAAGATGAAAATGCCCAAGTTCAGCATGCCTGGCTTCAAAGCAGAGGGCCCTGAAGTGGATGTGAACTTACCCAAGGCTGACATTGATGTCTCAGGACCCAAGGTGGATGTCGAAGTCCCAGATGTGAGCCTTGAATGTCCAGAAGGGAAGCTGAAGGGCCCCAAGTTTAAGATGCCTGAGATGCACTTTAAGACCCCCAAGATCTCCATGCCTGATGTCGATTTCAATTTAAAGGGACCCAAAATCAAAGGAGATGTTGACGTTTCTGCCCCAAAGCTGGAAGGAGAGTTAAAAGGTCCAGAATTGGATGTCAAAGGTCCCAAATTAGATGCTGACATGCCAGAAGTAGCTGTGGAAGGCCCAAATGGCAAGTGGAAAACTCCTAAGTTCAAGATGCCAGATATGCACTTTAAAGCTCCCAAAATCTCTATGCCAGACCTCGATCTACACTTGAAGGGCCCCAAGGCAAAAGGAGAGGTGGATGTAGATGTTCCCAAATTGGAAGGGGAACTTAAAGGGCCACATGTGGACGTCAGTGGGCCAGACATTGACATTGAGGGACCAGAGGGCAAATTGAAAGGCCCTAGGTTCAAGATGCCTGATATGCATTTCAAAGCCCCCAGTATTTCTATGCCGGATGTTGACCTAAATCTCAAAGGACCCCAAATCAAGGGGGATGTAGATGTGTCTGTGCCTGAGGTAGAAGGTAAAATTGAAGTACCAGATGTGAACATCAAGGGCCCCAAAGTTGATGTAAATGCCCCCGATGTCCAAGGTCCAGACTGGCACCTAAAGATGCCCAAGATGAAAATGCCCAAGTTCAGCATGCCTGGCTTCAAAGCAGAGGGCCCTGAAGTGGGTGTAAACCTGCCCAAGGCCGACATTGATGTCTCAGGACCCAAAGTGGACATTGAAGGCCCTGATGTTAACATTGAAGGACCAGACGGAAAGTTGAAAGGGCCTAAGTTCAAGAT